AAGTACAACAAGCATTTCTCTTCCCTAGTTTACATTAGATCTATTTTTTTCCAACACGGATAAAAGACAAACATTGGTTAGATCTAGACTCCATATTGACTCCATACCCTTCCTTCAAACGCATGCACATGCAAACATACATGCACACACATCCTGGCACTGCTCTGGAGCTCTGGTGATTTAGAGGATGATGGTTTTATTTCACACAAAAATCTGAAGAACCTAGAGCAATAGTTCTTAGCCTTAGCTGCTCGTTAGAATCACCCAGGCTCCAATTCCAGTTACTTATGATTTATCTGATTGGTCTGTGATGGAGACTGAGCAACAGCTTTTCTTTAAAACTTGCCAGGTGATTCTAAGATTCAGAGTTATGCATCATGGACCTGGAGTAGCAATTCTGAAGCCCTAAAAGACTTGCTAAAACACAGATGGTTAAACTCCTAGAGTTTATAATTTAATAGGTCTAGGATGGGGCTTGAGAATATGCAATTCCCACATAATGCTCATGCTGCTCCTCCTAAGATGATACATTGAGAAACATTGACTCTAGAGCACTCTCCTAGTGATGAAACTTGGAAATTTCCTCTTAGTTTTGCTTTTCTTTCATTTTTCAGGAAAAAGGGAGTTCTTTATTAGATATTTTGCCATCTTTGGTTAATCAAACCAGAAGTAAAGCAAGCATTTCTCTTCCCCAGGTTAGGTTAGATCTAGTCTCATATTGAGTCATGACAAGGACCATTATCAAACAGATTGAGGTTGATAAATACAGAATTCAGGAAGTGGCCTATTTCTTCCCAGGCACTTGCTTGCTTACCTTTAGTCAGTGAATACACCCAAATCATAATACTTGAAGCCAATGTAATAATGAAAATAGACACCTTAGAGTTGCATAGGGCCACAAGAGCTTATCTAATTCAGCCTTAAAGCACGTAAGGAGTAACTTTCTTGTCCAAATCGGAATCTTCAAAGAAGCAGGAGGTAACAGGGTGAACAAAGACATATGTATGCATTCAAGCATGGCCTAAGATGAATATGATGAAGAAATCAGCCTGACTAAAGAGGATGATTTGTGTGGACAGAGAAGGAACTAATGTGAAACAGGAGGACAGTGCCACAAATACCTGGCAGAGTAACTTGGATTTAATGACAGGAGCAATAAGAGGCCATTCAAGGTTCTTGAGCACAACAGTCACATGAGAAAAACATATGTTTCTGCAATGTTAGTCTGGTAGATTGGTTTAAGAATGAATAGAACCATTTTTAATCACTGCAGTGTATAACAGATGTAACTATTTGAAATAACATCACATTGAGGTTTTATTGTTTTGGAAATCAAGGAATTGATTTCAGGAGGAGAAAAATTTTTTAAAACCCCAGAGGAGTTCTAAGCCCCAAAGTAGGTTCACTTTGAGTTACATCTGAAATTAATAATAATAGTAGGACAATGATTGACCTACCACAAGGGCCCCACAATTCTCTCAGTCTATATGCTTATCTCAAATGACACATACATACTTTTATAAATTAATAAAAGTCTTGAAGCCTGTGTTTCATTTCAGAGATACAAACAGGTTCTACTGTAAAATAATTTAACAAGGGACCCCTTGATCTTCATTGAACAGCAAAAAGCACTACATTTATTTTTTCCAATTATGAGACAGTAGAGCATAAATATAATTTTATTTGAAACTTCCATCTCAATCTAATTGGTTAACTAACCAAGGTTCTCTAGTTAACTAGATCGAAAAGTCATCTTCTTTATATGAAAAGTAGGAATTTTGTAACACAGTACTTGAATTTTTGAAAGTTTTCTTTTTGGTTCTTAAAGCCCACTTTTTCTGATTATTTCCTCAAGGAAAAGCCTTAGTGGAGCAAACATCCAAAACCACTCTCTAGGAGGCAGCTAAAGTTTGATCCTGAGTGCCAAGAAATAAACGCTGAGTGGGCAGTCATGATCATAGGAATTGTGGTTCAACTACTGAAATGGATCAATACTTGGAGGCAGAGCATGTAGAGTAAAACATGCCAATGAAAAAAGTCTAAGACTAGGATTACAGAGAAATGTGCATACACTTTCTTATTTTTTGCAAATCTTTTCCTAACCCTGCAGGCCCTTCTACCTACTGACTGGATTGGGCTTGAAAGAAGTCCCTGTTGATCTTTGAGAAAATAATTGCATTAGAGTAGCAGGAAACAAAACCAATTTTCAGGAACTCTAAGAAGGAATGGATAAGGTGGATGTGGCCATTGATACACACCATTATAAAGGAAACCTAAGAAGAAAAGTGTGGGATTTTAGTTAAATAGGTGGCAGGATCAAGAAAAGATTTTCTATGTGCTAAAGGGACGCTATGCACACTTTTAGTTGTGGAGGAAACATTGCCAAAAAACTAGAGTTAGAGAAAAGTGAGTTGAAACCTCTCCATCTCCATTTGGAGGAAATAAAGTTTGGTGGTTCACAAACATCATTGTGTATCAAAATGACCCAGGCATCTTACTGTCTTTGATTCTTGGAATACATAAATATTCTGATTCTGCGTTGGACTCAGATATCTATATTCTTAATCAGCACCTCAGATGATTTTGATGCTGATGATCCAGCCTTTGCAAAGGGCTCTCTTGTGTTCAGTTGTTCAATGAAGAGTAGAGATGTGTAAAGAAGGAAAAGACTTAGGGGCTTGAGAATGAAGACCTGCGATAAGAAGAGAAATACAAGTAAAAAGGATTTCTAGGTGGCACTGAACTCCAAGTTAGAATTTAACATCATGGACCACAATGACCACCTTCTAGAAGGGCCATCAGTAGCAGAGAGACTACACAAAGCAAGTTTTCCAGACATGCACCAGGGCTGCAGTCAGCAATTTGTTCTTGTTTTTAGGTTACTTTGATGCGTGATGTTAATGAAACAGCTGAAGTTGATTACAATTTCAGTGGCAAATTGAAGCTTCACATTTTAGAATCACCCCAAGAATACCCTAATTATGTCTTTAACCATTGATAACGAGAAAAGGAAAAACAGGTAAAATGTATTCCATATTCCTCACCGGCCCTGTGCAATACCTGGCATTTTTTCCAGACATTTCTGGGGTGAGTTAATTGGAACACAGACAAAAAGTCAGATAGTGGGATCAGGTAAAAGCCAAGCAGGTTGAAGGTTTTTCCATGGCAGCCCCCAAGTTGGCAGGATCAGTCCATATGGTTATCTCAAATGAGACATACATATATTTATAAATTAATAGAAGTCTTGAAGTCTGAGTTATATTTTAGATGGACTCAGACAGGTTTTACTGTAAAATAATTTGACAAGGGACCCCTTGATCTTCATTGAACAGCAAGAAAGCACTACTATTCCTCTCCCACTTCACACAGCATCATCAGCCCCCAGATCTCCTTGCAGGCTCACATGAACAGCTCTTGATTTGGATTTGCTTTCATTCTGGTCTCGTGTGCCATAGTTTAAAAAATATTTTTGTTACTCAGTTTTATTAAAATGAAAATAGAAATTAAAAACTAAAAATTATTTATACCAGTGGTTCTTAACTTTTTTATTAATAGACTCAAAACACAGAATTTTATTCCAATGTCTTAAAAACTTATCATACATATATACATGAATTTTCCATACAGCAATTTCAGGGATTTCACAAATAACCTGAAGGCTGTATAAAAGGGCTGTGGCCCAGACGTGGTGGCTCACATCTGTAATCCCAGCACTTTGTAAGTCTGAGGCAGGGAGATCACTTGAGGTCAGCAGTTTGAGACCAGCCTGTCCAACATGGTGAAACTCCATCTCTACTAAAAATACAAAAATTATCTGGGCCTGGTGGCGGGGCACCTGTAATTTCACTTATTCAGGAGGCTGAGGGAGGAGAATCGCTTGAACCCAGGAGGCGGAGCTTGCAGTGAACCTCCATCTCAAAAATAATAATAGTAGTAGTAATATTAATAATAATAAATTAAGTGAGTAAAATAAAATAAAGGGCTGTGGACTCCCAGTTCGAATGTAGAGCCAAGGATTGAAAGACATGGAAAACAGCTGATTTCCACCAGAGTGTTCCTGTCTAATTTCTGTCTAATATGTGTAATTTTTGCATAGTTTTAACATAGAAATAATTTAGGGCTTTCTTTTTGCCCTTAACCTTTATCTTGTTATTCTAAGCTCTCCTAAGAGAGAAACATTTTAGAAAATGTTATTTCCCTAAATTCCTAAATATACTTCAGTAAGGTACTATATCATATTTCACACTTGTTGTATTACTGAATATTTCTTGCATTCAATATTTCAGCATTATAGCTAAAAATACAGAAAACATCATTTTGCTATAGGAAAATTTTTATTTTAAGCAGTTTTAGAGAATCAGCTCTGTTTTCATTGCTTCATTTCTTTCTCCTGTTTTACTCTGTTCTTGCTTTCCTTCTTTACTTGATCAGTTTTCTGTTACTCATACAGTTGAAGAATATCCATGATGACAGTTGAAAGAGAGATATTATGAACTAAACAACTTATCAATAATAATTATTTTGTTGGTGATAAATTGGACATATAATCTTGTTCTTGATTCTTGTCTCACCTAATTAATGTTTCCTTTCATCTTTCTCGTAATTCTGTCAATACTTAATAGCATAAAATTTTTTATGCTGTTAATGTTGAATAGTTTCTAAAGAGTTAATAATAAATGAAAACTTACCTCCAGGTAGCTTTGAGGTAGTACTATTAAATTTATAATTTATAGTCAATTCATTTTAATGTAAAAATCATGTAACTGAAATCATCAAGCATATTGCCACAGTTGTGAAATCTTTATAATAAGCCCAACTTGTTCAGCTCATTTTCTTGAGTAATGTATTTAATCTGAAAGTAGTTTGTTAGAATTTTTTAACTCTAAATAACGTTTGTTTCCCAGAAATGTTTTATCTCTTTAAAACAAAAAGAATAATGCAACTGCTTCATTTCATATTGAATACTTTATTTATTTGTTCCAATTTTTATTTGTTTGTAGAGTTGTAAGCTATGAGAACATCAATAAAAATGACTACTATACTATTAGCCAAAAGGCAGTAACACACATTTATAATGATGACATTGAATTTATTGAACTTGATCGATGGGAACAGGAATATCTATATCACAGAGAACTCGCTAAGATTCCCATCTTTTCACTGTTCCGGAAATGGAAAGCTTTTAGTGTATGGAGGAAGAATGTCCGCTCCAAGAAAATCACTGGATGTCGAAAATCTCTACAAAAAAATCTGTTCATTGTTAATCCTGTATGTATTTATCATTCATATTTTAAAATAATTACTTATAAAAAAAGGAAGTGTGAATCTATTATAGCTGTTGGTATAGACTGTTCTTGAAATCAAATATTTTATATTCTTAAGGGAATTCTCAGTTTTCATCCTGTCTTGTCATTTAACAGTCTGGCAATCTAGGGGTGTTTCTACATTTTAACTAGGGCTGCAAAATGCAAAAGTATAAGAACAGAGTTGCAAACGTCTCTTTTGATTAGAAGTCACCTCTGATTTTTTGGCTTTGTGGTCCCCTTTGTTGTTGATTAGGAAAGTTATATGTCATTTTGAGCAGAGTAGGCTCGTGACCCCTATTACCTCCTCTCATCTTTGAGACACTCTAGACTTTATGGTCTAAAATAAGTCAGGGCCTCATTTTCATGGGTCAGTATCTCCCAATATACTATATGTTTCCTCTACAATGGATTCATACAGTAGGAAAATTTTTAATATTTACTTTGGATGATGGGATGATCATGAAAAATGAACTGTTAAAGAGTGTGTGGCCATATTTAAAATTTCTATCTATTGAATTTCAACTTGCATTAGAAGTTTTCTACTTGGCCCCTAGGAATAAACTGCAGTCATCATTACCATCATACTCAGAGTTCTGGTCCTCAGCTGTTTCTATGACACTACCTCAAGTTTGCTTTTTACTAGTCATTTCCTTTACTTTGCATATTGTAATATGAAAGACTGTTATCAACATACCAGTCACACAATAGGGAAACCTTCAAGGTCTCTGGCTAACATAAATATTAGTACAAGACAAATATATAAGATGGACTATCTCAAGTCATCCATTCCACTGTGCATTCTGAGTTGTGAAAAAATATTCTAGACCTTCTTGACATGCAACTCAAATTTCATTGAGGATCCATCAGTTATTTGAAGTTATTTTTGCATCTTTCATCTTTTACTATGCATCGAACACTACACATATCATACATTTGTTGCCAGATATGTAAAATAGTTCATCCTTGATTTGTCTTTAAAATTACTTCTATCAGTCCTCAAAGCATGTTCTCTTATTTTATGTGCTGAGAGTTGTCATTCTATATCTGTTCATACCAGTGATGTTTTGGCCTTTAGAGTATCTTCTCTTAAATTTAGTTTCAGCAGACTAGAAAGCTCTCATCATTTTAAGCAAGGATTGGCCTTGCTTAAAATGTGTATTTTAAATGTGTATTAAATGTTGTAATTACCCACACACTTACCACTAGCATTACATGTAAAATTAGTTAACTAGTGCTGATTCCCCTAGACAAGGTTGAAAGGAGACATACTGAGTTGTCCTTGAATTTTTTCTTTTTATGATTTTTTTTAAATAACCAGTTCTGTTGGTTCCTGTGCCTATGTCATTTTCTTATAACAGTTTTGATATATAATTTACATACTATACAATTCACACATCTGAAGTATACAATTAAATTATTTTTAATATATTCACAGAATTGATCAACCATTACCACAGTCAATTTTAGAATATATTTATCATTCCAAGGGAAGCCTCATTACACATTAGTGGTCACTTTCTATTTCTTTCTGACTCTTCTGTCCCGTCCCCCAACTATAGGCAACCACTAATGTACATTCTATCTCCATAGACTGGCCTGTTCTGTACATGTCACATAAATGGAATCATACAATACACTTGGCCCTCAGTGCCATGGGGGACTGGTTCCAGGACCACCCCAGCAAATACCAAAATCCCTGATGCTCAAGTCCCTTATATAAAATGGCTTTTTTGCATGTAACCTACAAACATCCTCCTATATACTTTGTCACCTCTAAATTACTTATAATACCTAATACAATGTAAATGCTATGTAAATAGTTGTTATGCTACATTGCTTAGAAAATAATGACCCAAAAAAGTCTATTCATTTTTAATATGGACACAAGCATTGTAGACCCTACTACATTTTCATCTGCAGTTGTTTGAATCCATGACTGTGGAACCAGAGGATACAGAAGACTGACTGTATGTGGTCCTTTGTAACTGACTTTTGTTTTTTTAACATAATGTATTCAAGGTTCTTCTATGTTGTAGCATAGCATTTTTTTTAATTGGCAAATTATATTGGACATACCTATTTTATTTACCTATCGAGGATATTTGGATTGCTTCCATTTTTGGCCATTATGAATAATGCTGCTATGAACATGCATGTACAAGTTTTTGTCTAGATGTATGTTTTCATTTTTCTTGGGCCTATACCTAGGAGAGGAATTGCTGGGTCATTAGCAACTTTATGTTTAACCTTTTGAGAAAACATGAATCAGTTTTCCAAAGCAACTTGTTACCTAATGACAATTTAATGTTTGACTTTTTTCTGTGTCCTTGCCTCTTAAATTAATAGATGAGCCTTTCCATTATCATTATGACTAGATATTGTAAAGTACTTAAGGTAACACCCAGTTTTCTATTACTTGCCTTCAATTCCTTAAGTTACTTGCCTTACTCCTTAAGTAGCTGAAAGACTTGTATGTGTTTTCAAAATCAAAAGAAAGGAATTTAGACAAATTAGATAATTCAAGGAATACTTTTAGAAAAGAGTTATAGAAGTGATCTTTTAATATATGCATTTTGTAGTTGTAGCAAAAGTTAACACAGGTAAGTGTTTATTATCCTTAATAACCATTCTTGCTTTTCAAATGTTTTATACTTCTAAAATACAGAATGTTTTTACTAAATAATACATTCCTATTTTCATTTAGCATTTACGACCAGCTCTTCTTAAAATAAGTGAATTGTGTTATCATTTGAGTTTTATGGGACTTTGTCATATTGAAAAGTGTCACACCTACACCCTGCAGGAATTCAAGGCTGTGCAAGTCATACGGCTAGCAGAGGTAACCAATTTTATCTATAAGAATCAAAACTTTTTTCTCTAGTTTTAATACTTCAGTATCACTAACTGTACATATTCAACAATATCTAGGTGACAGAACACCTAGGAGAATTTCGAAATGAGGCAAAAGATGTAGTCAGGAAGGCTTGTCGATTTGCTTTGCGTGCTGCGGGATTTGCTCCTGATGACTGTGCATTTGGACCTTATGAGGGTATGAAGGGGAAAGAACCTCAATATATCAGAAGTAGTGGCTTTCTAAAATGTCAGCCCTTTTTTAGTTTACTTTTCTTAAGTTTAAATAATGATTCTGTGTTTCAATTGTTTCAAACATTTTATCGATGTTATAAATTTAATATATTTTGAAGAAGGGAGAGAAGTAGTAAATGCTGCATATTTTTCCCATTACTGCTGTTTGTATATAGTATTTCTAAACCGGATACAGAATCTTAATTAATAAGCACTTTAGAGTAGACTCAGCATCTCTCTGCTTAAAGATATGTCCAGCCTACTATCACAGACAATAGGTTTGTTAAAATTAAGGGGCTGGATTGACCTTAGCATTGACCCAGTTGATGTGTACTATAAAGGATGACTAAATTGCAGGTAGAAAAGGAGGGTAAAGGTGTTCCTGGGAAAGAGATAGCATAGTGTACAGATCAAATCCTGTTAATGAGAATATCTGTAAACCGTCTACAATCTTGTTGAGTTGAAATGCTTTGATGTGAAATTTTTTTGTTTAATTGGGCTGTTTTGGAGGTTTGAAATGCTTCATGTACCAAAATATTTTGTTGTTTTTGAATTTTATTTATGTTTTCTTTGAATCATATTGAAAGAAATGGAACTTTTACACAGGTACACTTGTTGTTGTGCCTTCTGTTATTCTTAGATTGTCACAAAGGGCAGAGCATTGTAAGTTTCGTTAACATTTCATATGAGTTGCCCACTTATGGAGACTCTGAGAAAATGACATATACAGAACAGGCCAGCAAAAGGCATCATTGCAAGAGGCTGACATGGTAAGATTATTCTTTGTTTCAAGAAAAAGTATAGTATCCATCTTTCTCGAGTTTTATTAAAACTTAAGCCCCAGAAAGTGATGAATATGATAATTTGCATAACTGGAGTAATCATTTCACTATGTATATCAGAACATCATGTTGTATACCGTAAGTACACACAATAAAAAATTAAAATGAAAAGTAGAATTTTTTTCTAGAATGTAAGTGATATCTCAAAAAAAAAAAAAAAATGGAACCCTCCACCACATTGTTCATGAATGGGGATGAGAAATTTATAGGACACAATAACCTGAATACATGGCCCAGAAGACTTCCTCTCCAAACTGCCACCAACCAAAGCAGCTCTGGGACTGTGAACTGATAGATACAGAGCAGGAGGCCAGGCCAAGAACTCCTCTTTTATCTCCCCGGCTTTGTTTTCCTCTGGCTCAGCCTGGGCATGGAGACTCAGAGTACAGCAGGCTGTGGCAGGGAGAAATCAGGCACACAGATTTGTAGAACTCTTCAAGTGGGCCTGGAGGACTTACTCCATCTTTTTGGTCACAAAAGAACTACAGGGAGCTGCGTGACTTCACAAAGGTGCACCCAATCCCTAAAATGGGATTTGCCACTGGGAGCCAGAAAGGGAAATATCCCTCCTAGGACCTCACCAGGGGACTTTCATTAGCACTGGCTCTGACACCTGCTTACCCAGCTGGATCTTGACCTCAGCTGTTCCAGAATTTGAATTTCCCATCATTCTAAAACTTCATGTCTATGGAACAATAAAATACTGATTATTGTTATTCAGTACTCACTGACTTAATCCAACTTTTGCAATTATTTAATACATCTTAACTGTAATCTAGTTTATATATGAAAATATCTGTGTGGCAACAAAAATCAGTGAAGTGGTCTCTGAGGCTACTGTAGAGGGCCTGGAAGTATTAGAGGCCTTAGAGCTCCACTTGAGCAGAGTAGAATTATTCTAAATGTCTGCATTCTAAGTGCTCAAGTAAGGAAACATAAAATTCAAACCTTTGGGTTAGTAATTGCCATCAACATTTATTCAATAGCAAAGATTTTACACTTTTAGTATTAGAATGCAAGTTACAGATGTTGTATGCATTGATTTCTTCTTTAAAACATCTTTTAAAAATATATTATTGCCCTTTTCGCTAGATAAACTGGAGCATTTTCCCTAACAGCTATATTACTCTTTATTCTATTGAAAATTTAGAACGTCTAACTGAATTGATGCTACATATTTGAATATATTTGTATTTTAAAAGGAAGAATATCTAAGAACATCTCTTCCAGACAATACATTTCAGATATTATATAATTAAATGGAAATTCAAGGAGAAATTATGACATTTTATATTTTAAGTATTTGCTTTAGAGGCACTGTCAAAAATAGTGAAAATAAAAAACTGAAGTTGTATTTGTTTGTTTCTTTTAAGCTTTATCCGTCTAAACGACTATCTAATTGAGAACACAATGCACGTCTTGACAGTAAATTCTGTTAATTCACTTTTAAATCATCTCACTGACAAGCTAAAACGAACACCTTCAGCAGATGTCATTCAGAAATGGATTACTGAAGACAAACCTGAAGTCACTGATAAAAAGGTATACTCATACAATATTAAGAATATTTTATTGGTCAGTATTGAGGAGTGTAAACTATGCTGTATGAATTATGCTATTTTCTGTGTGCTGAAAAAATTGAGAAGTGCATAGAGCAGCAGTCCCCAACCTTTTGGACACCGGAGACCAGTTTCATGGAAGACATTTTTTTCCGCAGACTATTGGGGATGATTTCAGGATGAAAACTGTTCCACCTCAGATCATCAGGCATTAGATTCTCATAAGGAACATGCAGCCTAGATCCCTCACATGCACAGTTCACAGTAGAGTTTGGGCTCCTATGAGAATCTAATGCTACCGCTGAGCTGAGGGGAGGCAGAGTTCAGGCAGTGATGCTTACTCTCTAGTCACCTCCTGCTGTGCAGCCCAGACCAGTACCTGGTCCACAGCCCTGGGCTTGGGACCCCTGGTATAGAATATTTCATGTTATAATCAGACCCTACAATACACATGAAATGGTAAACTGAAAATCAGCATATCAACAAGTATCTAATAATAGAGTAAAAATCCATGCTGAGAGAAAATTACTGTCATAGGAACTTGCTAAAGCTTATTCATGCATTCATTGACATATTTCTTAAGTACCTACTGTGTACCAATTCCTGTGCTGGATGTTGGCATATAGTGATGAAAAGCATAGACAGGATTTTTGCCCCTAAAAGCTTGTAGTTTGTGGGGACATAAATGTTTCTTGTGGGCATAAACTGGCAGGGAGAAGCAGGAAAAGTGGTATAAGTAAAAGAGATAAACATTAGTTTAGAGGTGAAAAGAAGCAAATTATTGTGCTTTGAGGGGATGACCTTTTCTGAGGATGTTGATCTTAAAGACACCAAGTACTTTAAGATGTTTGGATGAAGTAGTACAAATTTGTGCATTCCAGCATAGCTAAAAGAAAGATCATATTACCTCATATTCCAATTTCCCAATAAGTTTTTCCCTCTCTCTATCCTTAGTACTAATAGCTTCTTGCCAGAATACCTACAAAACATGTTCACCTCATTTCATCAAGCCTCCTACCCTCACAGCTTAAGTCTCTCGTGCCACAGAAACCTAATTATGCAGTACAAGTCCTGATGCCCTCAGCCTTAGTTTCCCTTTCTTCCAAAAGTTACATCAAAGTATATACTCCTTTTCATAGCTTTCTCTCCTCCCCTATTCTGAATTTCTCCTTTTTATAAATATTATCAAAATTTTAAAAGCCACACTTTTTTCTATTCTAAATGTAATTTATGCTAAGTGTATAAAATTAGGAAAACACAGAAATATACAAAGAAAAGCATCCTTTGCTACCCAAAGATAACTATTTCAAAGAGGAAAAAAGATATCATACTTTCCTTACTGCTTTATCCCTTGCTTTTTTGTCTTAGCAGTACAGTATTGTGAAATAGTTCTCAAGGCAACATGCATTTTTCCATGTGATATTCTCACAGATACATGTATGATAATTCTCATAAACATTCCCACTATTTAAAATAATGCTGCAAAGGGTATCCTTGTCTATATATTTTTCACATATTTCATATTTTTCCCCTTAGAAAAAAATTTCTAGATGTAGAATTGAGTCAGAAATATGCACATTTTTAAGGCTTTTGATACATACACACTGGCACATATGCTCCAGAAAGCTTTGTCAATTTATAGCAATGTTTAAGAATGTGCATTTACCCACATGCACACTAAATATTATCATTCATTTTAATTTTCATCAGTCTGTTGGATACAAAGTGGTATATCACTGCTTTCAAATGTTATATTCTTTTAATTATGACCCCAGGACAAGAATAAGGGCATAGGTCGAGGAATCAGAAATATCTGGGTTTGAATTCTGGTCTGCTGCCTATTAGCTGGCATGACCTAGATGAAACATTCTACTTTATCCAGATCCTATTTTGATCCTATGGGAACAATAATAGAACCTGTTTAAGAAGCTTGGTGTGGGAATTACACAAATACCCAGCACTGTGCCTGGCACACAGTAAACTCTTTGTAAATGTTGTTACTAAATAAACCATTTTAAGGAAAAGAAGAAAGAGATGAATTGATCATTTGTATTTTGCTTTCGAGAATTATCAGATTATGCCCTTTGCCCATTTTTCTCTTTAAGTATATTTGTATTTGAATATATTTCTATATAAGGATTCATTAACATATTATTGGCATATATTTCTATTAAGTATATCAACTATAGGTCTATTCAAATATGATCAACTTTCTACCTGTTCTATACAGTATTGATATGTCTCCCCCATTTATTGTTTGCTTTTCCATTTTGTTGCTTTTTCCATTTTCACAAGGAGAAGAGTTTTTCATTGTTATGTAGTCTTTCAATATTTGCCTTTTTTTTCTTTCTGTGCTTTATTATTCTCTGAAATACTTCCTACATGCCAAGGTTATGAATTCAGCTAATTATATAACCTTAAGTTTATATGTGCCTTGTTTTTTTGTTTTGTTTTTGATATTGATACTTGTGTCTTTATAACACTGTAAATATACTCATTTCAGGGGCCCCTTGTGGTGGAAAGGCAAGAGGAAGATGAATCTCTCATCCCCATGTTTCTCACAGAACTAATGTTGACAATGCAGTCACTCCACTTTGAGCCTTGTCTGGAAGACTTTCTGGTGTGTGTTTTTCGTATGTTATCCACCTGCAAGTACCTTTTTGGAAAATGAGGCAACTGTTTTGCTGTCAATTAGTTGTCAGAATTGTAGTTGTCACTACTCTAAGATGATCATAAGAAAGAGAGAAAGCGTTGTTTTGTCACGGCATTACAGTTGTATATAAACTATCTAAAAGTTTAGCACATTATCTCTAACTTAAGCCAGATTAGAGGCTTGGTAAGGTAAAGGAAAACATATTCTATACAAAATTTAAAAGTGACCATAGGGATCCCTTTAAGGACAACTCAAGAAATCACTCTGTTGTAAATACATTTTCCCCCCTCCCTCCCTCCCTTTCTTCCTTTCTCTCTTTCTTTCTCTCTCTCTCTCTCTCTCTTTCTCTCTCTTTCTTTCTTTCAACAGGGACTCACTCTCAACCAGGCTGGAGTACAGTGATGTGATCTTGGCTCACTGCAGCCTCAACCTCCCAGGCTCAAACAATCCTCCCACCTCAGTCTCCTGAGTAGCTGGGACTACAGGTACATGCCACCAGGCCTGGCTACTTTTTGTATTTTTTTTTTTTTGGTAGAGATGGGCTTTGCCATGGTGCCCAGGTGGGTCTTGAACTCCTGAGCTCAAGTGATCTGCCTGCCACTGCTTCCCAAAGTGCTGGGATTACAGGCGTGAACCACCATGCCCAGCCTATAAATACCATTTTTGAAATCCTTTTAAAGGTATGCTGCATCTGAGAGAATTTCGTTGTCTTAGTTATTCATTGCTGTGTAACAAGTTACCACAAAGTTAGCAGTGGGAAATATCCACCATGAATCATCTCAGTTACTGTAGGTCAGGAGTTTCACTGGATACTCAGATTATCCTCTGTTTTAAAGTCTTGTTCTCCCTTAGGCTGCTGGAAGAATTTGGCTCTAAGCTACTATAGAACTGAGGTCCCATTTCCTTGAATAGTGTCAATCAAGGACCATCCTTAGGTCCTAGAAACCATCTGTCACTCCTTGCCATGTGGCCCACTCTCTAGGCAGCTTACAATATGGCTGTTCACTTCTTCAAGGCCAGATGGACCATTCTCTTAAGAAGGGCTCAATCCCTCTTTTAAGGGCTTTCACTTGATTCAGTCACGTCTTTCAAGGATAATCACTTTTGACTAACTCAAAAACAACTGAATTGGAGCTCTAATTATATCTGCACTATCCCCCACCTTTGCTGCATCACATAACCTAATCATGGGACTGGCATCCCATCATATTCACAAGTCCCACCCATACTCAAAAGGAAGGGATCGAACAGCATGTGTACACAGGGGCAGGAATTTTGGGGGTCATCTTAGAATTCTGCCTACTATATTTGGATAGGTGCATAGATTAGTAAACAGTCAAAGTCTGTCTTCTGCTGTTAGCTGCTGTACTGTGATACAAAAGCACTAGTAATCCAGATCCCTAGATTTTAGTATTTGACTTTGGGAAAACCACTTCTGGGGTTCAGTTTCTACATTTATGTAATGAGAAGACATACGAGTTCTAGCATTGCCTCCTCTTCCAGCAGTCTATGATTCTGTAATTTATGGGATAGGCTATTTGAAGGCATTTACAATGACCAGCAGACTGCTGAGGTCCCTGTAGTTGGAAGCTTGCTCAGGAGCTCCCATGCCAAGAGGCACGGGGCTCTCATGCCCCCTCCTGGCCACAAGACAGTGTCTCCCATGAGATGCAGGTGTCCTGGGCTGCAGGTGACTAAAGGAGGCTCTCTCACAAGCAGTTGGCTGTCCTTTACCCCCAAGGGTAAAACACCTAAAAAAAACTTGATACCCTTCCCATTTCCTATTGTAGGACCCTGTTCTTCACATGGATATTTTTAGCTTCTACACATGAAACATACATGGCCAGGCTCTGAGAATAATTAGCATGTTTGTCCATTCATACTAAAGTAAGATTTTATTTCATATAACCCAAAATCGGCCAATAGAAGTATATATATAGAATTATCATTCATAAATTTTCTATTTTTTTCACTATTATTTTGGTCATTAGCCTTAATCATTCCCAGTGATTCCAAACATGCATACACAGAGATTAATCTAAAGGAAAACTATATACATAAGTCATGATCTCTTACTTTGTACTTTCCTAGGTTACCTGTGGTTTCCTAATACTTGATTCAATCTATACTTTTGAAGTCTAACCTTTCTTGCTGTGTGAGACAAACCTCCCATTGCATTTGATTCTGTTTACTGCTTCTGCCTCTTGAAATAGACTCCTCCTTTGGTTTAATTTCACTTGTTTCTATTTCTGTAGCAACATTTTTTCCTTCTCAATCATCTTTCCAAGAGCCTCTTTTTTATCTGATCCTTGCTTGATTCTTGCTATCTTAAAGGGCTCCCTTCTCCTCTTCACATCCTACAGTTCTTTCTGGGTGCTCTTTTCTGTACCCAGAATGCAGACATAAACATATATCCATATCTATGTCCATCTATCTATATCTCTACCTATATCTATATGCCTATATCTATAGATCCAATACTTTTCTTCTAAGCCCCAGTCATGGTCACCTGGAAATCTTCACCTGAATCTCCCACAGTTAATTTCATTTTACCAATATGAATTAAACTTAACCTCTTCAAAAACTTGCTCCTCCCTTCTTATCTCCATCATAGTGAAAGATGCCCATGCCAGCAGTCTGGGAGTTCTCCTAGAGTCTCCCTTACCTCCTTGAAATCAGGTCATCAGCTCTAGTGTGCTGAACCATGGTTGCACCCACTCTGCCACTCCTTTCCATCAGGACTTCATCATCTCTCTACTGGCCTGCTGAAATAGTCGGCTCTGATCTGCCTGCCTCTCTCCCTTCTGATCCATTTTTCACATTGCTGAGAGCAAGATTATTCTCATAAGCAAATCTAATCATGTTCCTTCTTAAAATTTGTCCATTGCCTGTAGGAGCGTCTTTCACAGGATGCTCTGTGAGTTGTTGATAGGCATTTCAGGAGAAAAGGGGTTGTGATATACATTTGTATATTAACAGATATAAAAAATCCTGTTTAGAAGGTCTTCAGAAAAATCCTGTTTAGAAGGTCTTCAGAAAAATCCTGTTTAACTTCGTGTAACTCAAACTTCTTCTCAAATTTACCTTGGAAATTAGGACCCTTTATCCTCTGGGTAATCCACAGTCACGGTTTGGAGAATACTGGCCCATGGGCTAACATTGGCATCATGCACAAGGTCTTTCATGAAGGGGCCTACTGCATCTGCAGAATATCCTATTTCCCCACTCTAGTACTGAAGCCTAGATGCCTCACCCGCCTGCTCCCTTGTGCCCCATGCATAATGACTTAGCAAGCATTATACTGTTGTCTGATATACTTGACAAGCTCCTGTTCATCTTTTGAGACTCATTTAAAGACATACCTTTTCTTTATCCCATTCTCTCTAATTAGACTTTATATTTATTATAAATTGCAAACTAATTTATGCTCATTGAAGAGACTTTGAAAAACACAGAAAAAGATTATTAAAATAATCCATAATATTATGTACGAAAAATAAAAACCCATTAACATTTTTTTTCCTTTTATTTATTTTATTGCATTTTAGGTTTTGGGGTACATGTGAAGAACATGCAAAATTGTTGCATAGGTACACACGTGGCAGTGTGATTTGCTGCCTTCCTCCCC